AGAATATCACACTCAAATAAATTAGTGCTGTGAGGAATGAAAAACAAAACATATATTACTCTGAATAGTCATCATCGTGAATTAAAAAGACAAACATTAGTCATGGTAACCAAAAATCACAAAGAACCAAAATTTCATTTTGCCTTTTAATCCCATCACATCACCTCCCGTTCTTTTAACTGAATATGTAGAAACAATTTTCCGTAGAGGGTCCATTCGAAGGGTTTTTATTCGTTTTTGTAACCAACGGAACCTTCTCGATTGGTCGCACGGTTGTGTTTCAAGTTCCTGTTGGATTTTTGTTTTGTTAGCGGATATCCAGTTAGTATATCCCCGGACAAGTTTTTCAACTCCCGAGTAGCTATAACGCTTTTAAAACCTGATTACATATGATTGCTATGTCTCATTCGCATGAATTCCCCCACTTTTACTTCATACCTAACTGCTTCTGTTCTTCTGTTTACTGTTCCACTTTCTAGCTATGGTCTAGATTCGCGGAAATCCCATAACAAAACTGCTTGAGCTAGAAGAAATATTCTGGTTTTGACACGGCGCTGTTCAGTGCACTGCGGCTTTTTTATTTTCATTACGTTTGATCTTGATATCAGATTTTGTAACACAATCCGAATTGTTTACCCAAACATGCTTTTTTTCCGGTGATAGTCCGTTAATTGTCTCTGGACTTGCTGTTGAACGGTAACTTAGCAAGAACTTTTCTATTATTTCTTTTACCATCCCCTCCCCTTCCTCTTTTCGAATAGTCGTTTTTAATGAATCACCGAAACGCTCCGCCTAACCATTTGATTGAGGGCGACATAAAGGAAACCAAACACGAGCGATACTGTTTTCTCTATGGAATTCATCAAACTGGGTTGAAGTGAGCTGTGTTCCACTATCAGAAACTATAGTATATGGTAGTCCGAAACGGCTAAACACTTCGTAAGCTTTTGTATCGTGGTGATGGTAGTCACACAGGACATTATGAAGACTTTTGGCCATTTTGAAAATCCGTCGACGATAATTAGGAATCATTCACCCTATATCAAGGCGTGCCTGGTCATGGTCGAGGCTCATCTTTAATGGGTAGTTTAGATGACTGTGCACAATTGTAGCGTCGAATTTCCGTTTCTTTAATATATTTATCGATATTTGGCCAGTATACGTAATCACGGGCTAGTGACTTCATGCGACTCATGCCAGAATGAGAATAGTATATAAGCTTCAGGCCTAATCCCGAAGATGATTAAGAGTGACAACTCGATCACCAAACTGGATGCATTTATCAATAATTAAGAGGGAGCCACTCCTTCTGTGGAACAGTTTCAAGTCTTCTGACAAACGATATGAGGAAGTTAGTGTATTAATTTACAAACTATTTGAATGTTTTGTTGAATTCTGTAAATTCTCTTGAAGTTAAATTAACAGAGTGAACAGCATTAGTGAAAATACTGAAAACGTTCTTATCTCTCAGCTGATTACTAATCAATCTGGAAAGGGCATAAAAATGACCAAAACGTTTGTAGACTTATACTTGATATGAAAATTATAGCCTAGTAACGTCAATGTCTATCGATGGAGGTGGTTTTTTGTGTAAACTTGGATTCCTTTTTTGGTCCGAAAATTGCTACAAATGGTTTATGGTCTGTAGACAATCTGGAACACCGACCATGGAACATTTTATGGAGCTTCTTGATTGAGAAAACCAGATAAGGTCTTTCCTTAGAAATTTGGCTATAATTACCTTCTCCTTAAAGGAGTATCCGTGAAGCATGAGAACTGACCTTCTCCGTACCATCGGGAAAAACATAAATGATTAAAGCTCCAATGCTCTAATTTGGGGCGTCCGCCACTACCACAATTTCTAATTAAGGGATATAGTGGATTTATAGTAAATCAGAATAAAATATTTATTTTATTCTGTCAAACGATCTTTCGCATTTCTTTGACTCTCACCATGTCGCACCATTTAACAAACGTTGATTCAGTGGGTGTCTCAGTTTATGTAGAAATATGTCATGAGCTAGAATGATCGTAGCTTGCCAACATTTTGTGGTACTGGCATTCGACTAATCTCACTGGTATTATCTGAGTTGGTTTCATAACCGTCTTTGTCGATCACAAACTCGAGATACTTGATGGTTTGTTTGAAGAAATTGCACTAATAATCACGTAATTGTAAGCTAGACTGTTTTAATTTTGACAGGACACTATCAAGTCTACGGAACAGTTCCTCCTCAGTAGGTCCAGTAAAAATGATGTCGTCAGTATATCATCCTTTTACCGTAAAACCCAGATAAGAGGGGATTTCGATGATTTTCCCAAAGTCGGTAAAAATTGCGGGAAGAAAATCTAATGTTATTCGGATACGAGACAAAGGATACTGTATTTCACGCCACTTTTACAACTAGCTAACACTATGCATGAAGCTCAGACTTTCGTTCTGTCTCAACAACCAGTAGTGAACGTTAAGTATAATTCTGTTTTCCTGGAGATTTCTCAACTAAACCAATCTTTAAAAATTAACGGATAACGATAGATTGGTTGTGTTAAATTTTTGAAGTTAACATAAACTTAATAATTTAATTAATTGAAACGTCTTTACAACATTTCCGATCTGTTTGCATTTATTACACATTAATACTTACTCTCCCCTGTTTTGTACTTTGTCCGAAAATTCTTGTATCATTCGATCTAGTGAAAACAATAAGGTTAGGTTTCATCTATTGAGTTAACACATAAAGTGACAAAAACTCAACTAGTTTTCAAAAGCGTGACAAATATTGCGTCTTCTATCGTACAATATGTATCGCTTATCGCGTTTGCTAATAGTTCCCGCTGTTTCTACAGCGTAAAAATACATCGTGTTTCTCTGTTCTAGCCTCCTGTTTTATTAAGACAAGGTTTTTGCTGTATCCTAACTTCATTGTTGTATGTAGCTTCAGGAAAACATACAATTCGAAGGATTCTTGGCCATACTTGGATTACACACCTTCATACAATCTGTCGTCATCTGGTTGCTTGAAGAAATATAAGTAATTTAATGACCTGTAAACGAATTTCAAGTGAAAAGTTACTATACGCTATCTTTATTTCGTTTATATTCTTCTGCTATTATGTTTGAAACACCTTTCAGCTAGGCTAAAAAATCGACAGTGATGTACATATATGATTAAATTTTTGTATTGTGGCAAGTACTAAAGTACATAATGTGCATTTAGTTTTAAATTAGTTTAGTTGTGAATTTACCTGCATATCAAAGTTAAGTTATACTCAAAGACTCTAGTTCAATGCCTGTTGCCAAAACCCTCATCACTAAACTACTGAGTTAAGATAACCGCTAGCATGTTTGACGAAAATAGCATTGATTTCTTATTCTTGAAGTCTTGTGTATGACCTTTCTTGTTGTTAAGCCATCAATTCAGATAGAGTCTCATTGTAAAAATCAACATAAAAACGCGTGCACACTTAGCTGGAGAGTTTTTTTAACAGAAACTAAAATATCATCTGTATTTTGTTGTTGTCATGATTCTAGTTATAAGCTAAGACTTTAAACTAGAAGAAATATCATGGTGCTTCCTTGAGGGATTCACTTATCAAAAAAGATTAAACAAATGGTTGACTGAATCTCAAAAGCAACACATATGACATTAATAACAATATGCATTTATAGTTCTATTGAGTGTAATAAGCAGGTCTACTTGCCAAGAAATCGATTAGCAATATATTAGCAACATTTATACCCTAGAACTTGAGTCGTAATAAGCCTTTTTTATAATTATGTTAACTCTTCACGAGCTTATTTCTCGTCATTAGGAAGTAATATATAGATGCCTTGTAGTGAATGCCACTATGCCAAGCCCATACGGGCTATTGTAACTTCTGGACGGACTAATATGTTCATTATTCTCAAGCCTTGTCAACTGTTTACCTATTAACCCTATTTTTACATGGACGTATACGTGTTAATTACTTATCCTATACATCACATGCCTGCAGTTTAGTTTTTCCTGAATATAAATACTGTCACGCTTAATCAAAACCAGTTTCTTTACTCGCCTATCCTACTGAGCGTCATTTCTTTTCGTTTCGCTTTCTTCATTTAGTTACCCTGGTTGTCTGTTCAGATCAATAAGTGTACGAAATACACTTATTCAAATTTCATTCTCGTATTTGACTTATTTTATCCAGTTATTCTCTAACGCGTATTGAGTCAATGAAAATATACGGGGATCGACAGCATGTATATTTCAAAAACAATCGTCCAACAATTTAACTGGAATCAGATACAGGACCCCTATAGCCTTCAAGAAAGATGTAATTCATATTTAGTCACTCAGACTAAGTGCTTAGAAAAAAACAAAGATTAATTTTCATTTGTATCCCAAGTATATTAGGAAGATTGACTTAACATCTCTTTTCATTGGTGGTAAACTGTACAAATGTAAAACCAAAATATTAACTATTCTCCAGCACATCTAGTGCCGAAATTACCAGAAAATAGGAATTTTAACAAGCTAGTAATTGTAATCATTATTTTATTGAATGTGCATTGGGAAGGCGCTTCTGATGCTACTGCCATATTGATGAACATGGTTTCATAAAACAGAAAGTAAGATAAAATAAGCAACACAAACAAAGTTAGAAACAGTGAAATAATGCACAGAAGTAATATCGACATTTACACAATTTGTAAGTCGTTTACAGGAAATTACATTCACAATGACAACACTTGTTTTTCATTCTAGAATTGACTTTCATTCGTACCGAATTTCCGTCTTTTTTTCAAAAAAAGACATGAACTACTTAATTATTTTAAGTAAATAGATTAGAATAATGAAAAATAGATGAGCGTTAGAGTTCCGAACTGCTACTACTAACGCCCCTCCATCAGTTGCCACGGTAAATCATATGTCATTGTATTCGAACAAGCCATTTGTGAGCATCTGAACCTTGAGAGTGAACATCCCGCTTACGATTGCTTTCCATCATATATTGTAGCATTAGTTGGTCTGTAACGAATAAAACCATGTATCAAATGTAATGATTTTAATGCTATTTAGAATTTTAAATTTAATTAATCAATCAAGGGAAAAATGCCCAAGTTTGTCTGTAACACGTAATTTGAAAAATAAAACCCTGTTTCAAGAAACAAACAATCAAACATTAATTTATCACTCTCAATGAATGAGTTTGCTGTAAATTTATATAATACACGATTATTTCAGACACCTTGAGATCATCAACATGTATTTTATAGAAATGAGGCCACCAAATAGTTTTACAATAAATGATAGACTTTTTGGTGACAAATTGTAGTCGTAGGAAATGAAATTCAAATCTCAAGAATTCTTGTACTTCGTTTATTTTTAAACCACGAATTGAAATCACCCCATTCAATTGTTCTACTGAACATCTGCTGGGATACAAAATTACAATAGCCAGTAACTGAATAGTAATCAGCGACTTGCTTTTTGTAACTATACAGTTGGTCGGCTTGATATAGTAATGTTAGATAGTTACTGTGTAATAAGTTATGCAATCACCAGTTTCATTGACATCTGAAATCATTCCACCCCTGAAATTTTTTATGACGTTACGTACGGAATCGAACTAATAATCTGGTTTATTTGTTTGTGCATATTTTATTTGGTACGCTGTACTTATTAAGAGTGCTAAATCTTTGAGCAGAATACTAAGATGATCTGCTATACATTGTGGTTAGTATGTAAGTTATCAAATAATATTGAATGATGTAAAATTAACCATTATGAGTATGAGTGATATCGAAGTTAGTACTTGATCATATTTTTCAGGTATATTTATCTTAATCTTCATTACCAGAAAACTGATAGTAAGAAAACATAAGATCATATTTTACTAACAAAGCTGGTTTGACATTCATACCGGCTTATATTGTGAACTACTTTGTAATTTTATACAACAGAGATATTGTAGGAAACCATAGCTTCATAATATCACATGAGCTAATGTCGGTCCATGACAACAACTGTCTGGATACTGAAATAATTTTTTCATATCACCTAACTAACCATCCATTTTCAAATATGTTTTTTTCAGGAAGATTCTGTAAAGTGACGTTGTATAGTTTCAAACAGCCACATGGGAAGTTTAATTATGATCTAAATACAACATATCAATTCTTAATAATCTCGATAAGAATTATCAGCTTAAAACAATACCAGAGACATAACTTGAGTTCATTTATTTACAGGTGGGAACATAATGAAAATAACTGAATCAATGAATTACAAATAGATTCATACTGAATACCTTACACTGCATTCATCATATGTTTAAATATCAATTACAATTTCTAATTTTCAAATAAATGATTTCGAACTATGTAAAAGTAGTTTTACTATCATTCTTATTAAAATCGGAGAGTAGTTTTGTGAATATTATAGTAATTTAATTGTTGAATTCATGAGTTAATCAAAGCTAGACCATAATGGAAAACCTGGAAACACTGGACGGTGATGATCAGTGGAGTTAAACCGAGTCAGTTGTGAGATAGTAACTCAATGATGACATTGGTGGACATTGGCGCAATTTCGTGGATTGGTTGAAGCTAGACATTAACACTGTTGGTCCAGAGGCTAGGCGTTCGCACGCGAGACCGATAAGTCCTGAGTTCTAATCTCGCGACGCAGGGTCGTAAATGCACACTACTGAGGAGTCCTATACTAAGACGAAACGGCTGTCTAGTGCTTCCAGGTTTTCTATGGTTATCTAGCTTCAATTGACTCATGCATTTTTAATAATTAATTCACTTAACTGATGCATATTGTGGAATGTTATAATATATTATTTTTGTATGATAAATAAGATTTTTAATCACAGTAAAGAAATCGTTAGAATTTGTTTGTACAATTAGTAATAAATTAGGAAATAATAATAATTGAACTTTTAATTCAAGAAGATTCAACCAATCATAATATTCTAAATAAGTATGAAATTGATTTGAACTAAATTGTACAGTTGGTGCTTTCATCATCATCATCATCATCATCATCATCATCATCATCATCATCATCGTCATATTCATTGGATATTGTGATTGATATTGATTTAATTGTTCCATTGATGCACGATTATAGAAACTGGTGTAATTAGTGAATTTTTCATTGGAAAAAAAGGGGAAATAATTGATGAAATTCATTTTTATCTTTATTAACATAAGTTTGATGCTTAATTGACTACATATTCTTGTATTGAATTACTTACTTACTTACCTTCACCTGTTACTCCCAATGGAGCATATGCCGCCAACCAGCAATGTCCGACTGACTTTGTCCTGGTCGTTCCTTTCCAGTTCTAACCAATTCTTGTTCATTTTTCTCATGTCTGTCCCCATTTCTCTTGCTCTTTTCCTTTGACCTTGAGGATTCCATGTGAGGGCTTGTCTTGTGACGCAGTTGGGTGCATTCCTCAATGTGTGTCCTATCCACTTCCAGCGCTTCTTCCTGATTTATTCCTCCACTGCGATCTGGTTTGTTCTCTCTCCCACAATAGGTTGTTGCCGATAGTGTTTGGCCAACCGATCCGAAGTATTTTGCGAAGATAACTGTTAATAAACACTTGTATCTTCTGGATGATGGCTTTCGTAGTTCTCCGAATCCCCGCCCCATACAGTAAAACTGTGTTGACATTTGTATTGAAAATCCTGATCCTGGTGTTGGTTAACAGACAGTTGTTTTGAGTTCCAGATGTTCTTCAGTCGTGAACATTCTGCTCTTACTTTGCCGATCCACACCTTCACGTCTGCATAAGATCCACCGTGTTCATCAATGATGCCTAGATATGTAAAGGTGTTTACATCTTCCAAAGCTTCTCCGTCAAGTGTGATTTGATTGGTGCATGATATGTTGTATGGGAGAATCTTGCTTTTCCTTAGAGGAGTTGGAAAACCCTCATTCAAACCAGTGGTGCCCATGGGCTTCAGGATCCTGAGTGAACAAATGGCGTATGAACCAATCGTTGGTCACTGGCTATTATGGGACGGCATCTCCTTACGTTGCTCCAGTGTCTTGTAGTTTAAACTTTTAGGTCAAGGGCTCGGGATGTGGCTCCCTAAGAAAACCGCTTGTTTCGGTTCGCACCCGGGCAGTATCTCAGCCCTCATAAAAATCGAATGATTTATGTGACGCATAACTATTTGGTGCTTTCTTGTACCACTGTTTATTTGTTTATATAAATAAATGAATAAAACATCATAAGAAGCGCTTTCACAGGTTAATCATCAAAGCACTCTTCAACGTAAATATAAGTTCAGTTTACCTGAATAGTACTAGTGAATGCCACACACGAAAAACGGAAATTATAATACAGGTTGCAAATCAATATATACAAATAAGTTGAAATTACATCTGTTTAGTGTTTTAAAAAAAAAACTTTTGTGGGATCTGTAACGGTTATTTAATAATTCTTGGAATCCCTCTTTCGATAAAATCATTTCGCTTTCACAAATTCTGTTATTTTCTATACATAAAGTCCACTTGTAAGAAGTTGTAGATGGTCGGTAGTGGAATTGAGTTCATACAGTTACTGCAAATCCATATATCAGTCACAGCCAATGCAAAAACAGTTCATTGTGTCCATTTATGATAAGCTAATATAATCAGTTGGTCATCCACAAGCATCATGAAATCTGGCACAGTTGTCCATCTGTTAAGGTTGACAAGTCACAACACAACAGTGAGATGTGTTCGTCAAGCCAAATCTCAAGGTAGGGGAAATAGTAACATTACCAGTAGTAGTAAACAAGATTTCTTATTAAAAAAAATACTTGATTCAAGAAAAAAGAATGAATCTACTAGATAAAAAAATACCGTAATTTTAAAACGAAAGATCTGAGGGATGACAAATAGTGAATGGATCCCAACCATTATGACAAAATCTGAACTACGTCGTCCAACGTCTCCACGTATTGCTTACTACAGTCTTGCACGCTTAACGAAGAGCATAAAAAATATGTCGTGTTAAAATCAGTTTACTCGAAAATAATTACAAGTAGGTTTATTGAATGAATGAAGTTGCTTAGTTCTGTGTGTTAAAAGACTTATAGCAACTATCCTACAACCAATTTCGAGTATGGTTAATCTTAGTTAAACCTTTTTTATTAACTAACTTAATAGACAATGTTATTTCAACAGTAACAATTCGCATATTTCGTTGTACCGTTATGACCACTAGATCACATGACAGACTCGGGCTAAAATGTTGATTTCTTAAATATCACTTCATGGTTCATCCTCTTCCCCATGTATATATGTACTCAAATCCTATTATTAGCTTCTGCTTTGCGATGTTGTGCCTTTATGCAATTCGACTATAAATTTGCTTATGTATTCGTTCGCACACACATATTCACCTCACTGCTTCAAATTCGCTTGATGTGCTTATAGCTTTGTGATGTGCGCTATCCGCTAATAAACTGTAGTTGCCGCTTCTCATTGCCTTCTAATTTCAAATACCGTTGAGATTTATATTATGACGGTTATCGAAGTGATCGATTAACGAAGCAAAGCCATTACAGATTTTATCAGAGTTCCGTTTATTTCATTTTAGTCAACGTGATACTAATTTTTTCGGATTTCGTATTATAAGCTTACTCTAATATTAACTCATTTAAATGTTAGATGTTAGATTAATAACGATACAATCAGAAATGTCAGGCTCTTCGAAGGAATCAGTAGGAAGCTTTAAAATTATGTTTTAAACTAGGTGACATCACTTCAGCAAAGCATGACCTGTAATCATGACGTAATTTACTCTACTCATTGGATCTAAACCAGGTTATCTGATTTTACAATCAAAGATTGTACCATTTAGCTTTCAGGAATAATTTTTTGAATTACCCACTTAGAAATTTAATCAGTTATATAATATACCCTTGTAGGCCAGGGTAATTTTACATTGGTTTTTGGGAGAACTAGACATCATCCAGACGTTCACGTGACAACCCAAACAGATCAGCTCACTCCCGTTTAACAGGAGAGCGAGACACCGCCCAGGCTTAACACGAACAGTACAGTTCAATCCCACTTCACAAGAGAACCAGACACTATATAGGCTTTAACTCTACAATCTGTATAGTACAGCTCAATCCTATGGCGCGACCACACAGGTACCAAACGTCCTGATGAACCATGGAAATTCAACCAGTTGGACTTAAATTATATAATAGAGTTCCATTTAAGTAAGCATTTTACTCAATTCAATAATTAAGTAAAAGAGCAATGGTTGTATTTATAAAAGACTGATTATTCAAAAGTTGAACAACAAATCAGTGTCTTGTGCAGAAAAAAAAAGAAAAATTAGAACTTACTTTATTAGATTTTGTATAATTTTCGTTATATGGTATTCTAACTAAAGCGATATCGTCTGCATCATTTATTTGTTGTTGTTGTTGTTCCTGATTATGATGAGGAATATTTTGATTAGGGGATAGAATAGCAGCTATTTGAGAATTATCTTGATGTATTCTAGCCAATTGTTCATTCATTGTTTGATGTAAAGAAATAGATTGAGGAATAGAGAATTTCGGTATTATACAGTGGTTTATAGATGAACAAATTGTTGAACTGGAATTGTGGTGTAAATTCGATGAATTAAGATAACTGGAAAGTTTCAAATAGTCAATAAATGAAGATGAAGTTAATGGAACTGGTATGAATGAAGATGATGGTAGTGAAGATATATCATAAGAATGTTGATGATATGGTAAAGATGAAAAAAACTGTGTATGACTCACTTTTGAAATATTTGTTGGTTGAATCAATTTTGTTGATTCTTTTGATAACTTTTTATGTGCAGAAAAACATGTTTTATTAATTAAATTTCCAAGGGATCTATTACTAGTTGAATGTGCATTACTGGTAGTTGACACACTAGGTTTTATCAGGACAGGACGTGAAATAGTAATGTGAACAGGATGCTGAGACATTCTAGATTTCATGTGAAATGAAAAAAAAACAGAATAAATGTTAAAGAAGCTGGTAATTTTTAATAAAATATATTTGAAGTATGAATTTACACCAGGCGAGACTGTAATTTATGGACGAACCAATCACATTTAGAATGACAGGTTTAGGATTTTGGCGCGAAATTCATTTACCAAATTGTCAAAATAGCGTCCTGACATTTTAGCTGATGTCAGTTCGTGATGAAAACCATAAATCTAATTCCTAACCATCAACTGTAAATCATAATATTTTACTCTTCATTCTGCTTTATAACCATCAATTAGCGTCGCTCAAAGGTCGTTCATAAATTATAGTCTCAACATTGTTAAAAATAAACGTTTTAATAGTAAAATATTTAGAGCACATCTTCACAGTGCGTTAACACATTTTGTATGAACGATTCATTTGGAAGCGTTTAATATTGATCGTAAACTTCAGTGTGATTGACTGGCTAGAATGGTCTGAAGACTTTTTATTCCTTATTTAATAATCTGGATTCTTATTGGTTATAGTTCGTAAGTTTTCCAAAGATAAAGAGTTCGATTTTCCCTAATGACCTTAACTTTACTTGTTTTACTCATTTGCATTGCAATATGTTTGCATCAAAAGAAGAGTATTGTCTTCAGAATTGTAAGGTTTTTACAACTAAATTTAATGTTTAAGATCTAACAAACAAAGCATAATGTAACTGGATAATATTTTCGCTTGTATGTATGCTCATATATAGCAGTGAAAAGGAACGACGTTTGATTCAATAGATTTGTAAGGTGTTTAGCATGTATATTGGTTGATTACTGAGTATTAACTAATGTCATGTTCATCATGTCCTTAGTGCTGTTAGAATTATATCGGTGAAGTTACAATGTAATAACTAGAATATGCAGATCAGTAACATAAACGCTTTATATTGATAGTATGTTATCAAATAATTTAATATCGTAGTGAATAAGCCACTGTATTAATAAATGTTTAGAAGTTAAGGCTAATGATTTTTTAAAGGTCTATGATTGTGACAGTCTTTTTGCTCCAAAATTATAGGAAAAGCACTTAAAAAAACTTATGAAATATTGCTGATACCATTTCAAACTTGTATCGTTTATCAGTAAATGGATTTCTTTTTCTTTAGACTGAACGTGACATTAATGAAGAAAGACAAACTTAACATCATGTATACAGTGTGTAGTACTAAGTGAGAACTTGTGTTGCTTTCGCCTACGAATATGCGGACACAGATTATCAGTTAAACGTAATAATTTATATCCACCTATATCGATGCATGCAAACACCTAACAACACGTGTTTAACTTGGAAAGTGTCGACTGTTTGAATAGAGAAAATGCTTACAGTTTCAGTTGTGAAGCGTAGGTCAACTTAAATTCAATAAATAACGTAGATCAAATTATTACATTAATGTATATGAATTAAATCATATGATAATAGATGTTCACTTCCCATTCAAGCAAAACCCGATGGTATATCCAGAATGATATCAAAAACTTTAAAATTAAATTATCCAGCTCCAAGGATGTGTCATCTTAACTTTGTCATAAAATTAAGTTCATTTATATTAACTCATTGATAATCATCGTTTTTTTTACCCTTCACCAACTTTTTAATACACAGTAACTAACTTAATGATTATATTTTCTTTATAGTATCTTCTGGAGTACAAAAATGCAATTTTCAACATTGGATAATCGATAATGATACCAGATTATTTAATTTCACGCTATTCCCATCACATCGATAAAACAATAAAGAATAAAATTTCTTAATTGATAATCCGAATATTTCAAACATCTGGTTAACTTGTTGACGACTAAACAAAATTTAAAACTTGCAATTGTTGGAACGATCTAGAAAACTCCTCGAAAAAAGCCAAGAAAGGCTCTGAAAACATTGAGAAGTGTCTTATTCAATCAGCGTTCAGTCGAACTTTTGCCAGAAGCATCTAGAAAATGAAACGTCACATGTTGAGTTCCTGACTGGATGATTACTTATATTGCTACTATGTTTATTAGCATTCCAGAACTTTCTGGAAACGAAAAGACATCTAAAATACTGTGAAAAAATCCTAAATTTTCTGTACATAAACGAACCTTTGGAATAAAGTATTTCTTACATATTTCATTCCTTTTCTCAAGTATTCAAGTCTCTGTGTAGTTCTAGCCTGGGGGTTACTAGAAGAGTTCAGAAACCAAATCAAGCGTTCAATTAGCAAGACTTATCAGTAATATCATCATTTTATTTCTTTCTATAGATTGAAACTATATAGACAATTTAGAGACTAGCAACTTGGATTAGACTTCATTCATTTACAGGTTTAAGTGATTTGATAATGTGGTTTACTTTTATTTAAAATAACTGAAAGCGGTCGATATCACATTGTGAAACTCTTGTTTTGTGGTGATTAGAGTTATTATTGAAGTGTTTATTTTCTCTCAGAAATTCACTTCCGTTTCATTCTTAATGCAACAGTCATAAATAATAACTTTGATCTATTCAAAAACGTTTGTTCCAGACTTGACAATGACAAAAAGACTTTGTTTAAGAATTCTACTCACCTGAACATGCGAACAACACTATTACTTGTAGACCGTGATACATTTATGTTATCAATTGCAACTATAAAATCACCAGCTTGTATTCCACACTGCATTGCCGGTGAACCCGGTTCCACATGGCTAACGTAAACTGGACAATTACCACATAAAGTAAATCCGTATCCCTTAGAACCTTTTTGAATAAGAAACTGAATTAGGAAAAAGTAAGACACAGTAAAGTAACGATTATTGAACAAGAACGAAATGGTTGTTTGTTATGTGGACATCAGACAAAAAATATGGTAATTACGACAGGTTGTCAGATTATTATGAAAAATAATGTAATGTTCGTAACATTCTGATGACTAGGGGATTGAAGTTTTGACGTTTCACGGCTCAATGTCAGTCACGTCTACAAAGAATAAATGAATAGTCGAGTTAAATTAACACAAGCTTAGAAAGTACAAAGGAACAAAGCAACATACCTAGTACAAATAAAATAATTCTAAACAAGTCAATGGCACGACATATGGGTCAAGGGGATTCCATGCAAGACATGATTGTGTATTTTTGTGTATGTTAGTCAATATGAAACATGTGATATTTCTAACGTAAAAAACTTAAATTGTAGTTTGCTAGTGCCCTTCTGTATAGAATCCTATTTTCACACTGTTAGTAAACTTTAGAATAAAATATCTTTCAACACTGTAAAGCGTTTTTATAGCATTATTTTCAATGAATTATTACTATGGCTGATTTTGAACGATAACTGTTAGATGTTATGACAAAAAAATTGGCTTGTGACTTAAGGCAATATCGAGGCAACCCGCACAGAATGCACATATGCCAACATGAGACTGACCAAACGCAGTCCTAAATAACAATGGGAAGATACAAGTAAAACAACACCAAGTGAATTTAGATAACTGTTAGACGTTATGACAAAAAAAAATTAGTGAAGAATAATATTTACCTCATTAGATTCATAAGAATATAGGAGGACACCATGAATAGAAATGAATAACCTAATTAAGTGGCATAATAGAAATGTCTTAAGAGTTGAATGTTTTAGACCGTAATCTGTAAAGGAATTAACGGAATTTGGGCGTTTTTTATTTCTTATTGGTCTAGAAAACCAAATGACCATTTGTGTTTATCATCAACCTCTCGAGTTCGAAATAAAGCACTATGAGTTTGGATTACTTAGCACAACGGTTTTATCATAAAAATGGTAATGTTGATGATGCTGGATCGAGAATGGCTAAGTTTAATTTTATCTGAGGACAGTATTTCACTTTTTAAGTAGTTTGAACTAGTATTTGAATAAGATTTATTTTTTTAAACACATAAACATTGGTACAAGGAGGCACCAAACAGATATGCACCACATAAATCGTCCGATTTCTATGAGGGCTGTATTACTGCCCGGGTGCCCAACACGAAGCAGGTGCTTTTCTTAGGGAGCCACACTCCGAAAAGTATGTGTCAGAGATGGGGTAAACATTTATTGCACGGCCATTTTTGTTGTTTTTTTTCGAGTGAAATTTTTTTTAGTCCTTTTGGAAAAAATTTTCATCCCCATCTTCCAATAATTTTCATTCTGTTTCGTCCAATCAAATAACTAGTTTTGAGTTCGTTATAATTGGTCGTTTATTTCTTAAAATCGATATAAAATATGAGGATTTAATGGCAGAGCACATTTTCTTACAATTATGGACGGTAGTAACATGCAGAGCTCGGGTTCCGTCGTTCCTGACGTTGTCACAGAAACCGATAACCTATTCTTGAGCACATTGTATCTCGTAGCGTTCCAATCTCTTGAAGCGTTGAAGAGCGCCATTAGAACGTATGAAAGAGCCACGTACTGCCATTATGTGGTGAGAGATTCTCATTTACATAGAGATCGGAAGTCCTATATTAAATTCGTATGTTGGAGAAATGGCCGTAGAACATCTAGCGGTTCCTCACAGCCGAGTAGACGAACGAGGTAATTTGACTTATGTTATTATAATTTTTCATTAAGGACTACTGTGAGCACTCAATGTCCTTCCTTCATCTTTTGTAAGTTCATTGAAGGTTACTGGACTGTTGTTCGTGGGAATGTGTATCACAATCACGAGTGCAATTCCCTAAGGTACCAAAGTAATTATTGGATGCGCAGGTTAACGGAGGTGGAATTCGAAACAGTGAGACCACTTTTGATATCTGGGACAGCGGCATTCAATATTAAACACTTTGTTTACCAATCTTATAGAAAGTGTATAGATCCTCAAGATGTTTTTAATATGCGCCACAAAGTGTTCTCACAAGCCAACCTTCCTGGTAAGCAATGTGCCTATTTAAATTGTCAACGTTAGGTGATTACTCCCAATTGAAAGATCACATCATGTCGCTTGGTGGCCTCTGTGAATACGACTTAGATGGAGATAACTGTCTGTTGTATTTCTTCTTCACAACAGCAGATCAAATTAGTTTATCAAGTCGATTTTCTGATGTTGTTGGTTTTGATGGGACCTACAAAACCAATAAGGAAAATTTATATTTGTATCAGGTTGTAGCACTTGATATGAATTTCATGGCAATACCTGTTTGTATTGCATTCATTAGTTCCGAAACATCTAATTTAATTGCTCATTTCCTGTCGTTCTTATGCCGATCAACTAACAACCGAGAGGTGGTAGGCATTGTAACAGATGATTCACCTGCAATAGCTGCTGCCATTATGCAGGTGTATCCCGATTCCCACCACATTTTGTGTCGCGTACACATAATTCGTAATGTGTTAAGGAGGGTAAGTTTTTCGTTGCTTAACATTAAGCCATTAATCGTCATTGTAGAGGCTACGAGCGGAAACTGTACAACTTTTCTTCCGTCTGATGTTCACTAGAAATGTCGAAAGGTGAATTAAAATATGCATTACAGTCTTTTGTAGTTTCCATAGTTATCTTCCATTAATTGAAGCATCAGACGGAAATTTTTACCGATATGTGAGAGATCACTTGTTGCCTAAAAAGCACAAGTGGTCAAATGCTTTTCGCCCCGCAGCGATGCTCTTGGGACAATGTAATACGAATTTCGTAGAGATAACTCATCGGATTCTTAAATTGCATAAGCTGAACAGAAGAATACCCGTGTTGAGATCAATATTCAATGTGCTTCTTCGAACTGGATATTGGATCGATACGCGAATGCAGAAGTATTATTGTGATTGTCGTAATAAAACAATAATCGGTCGGGAGCCAGTAATATGTCGTCTTCGGGAAAGACTTACACGAGATGCATGTCAATTACTGAAGCGGCATTTGCGCACTCCTATCAGTGAGGTTGTAATGTGATACATTTATACGTTTTATAAAATGTCTTTATCATGAGTGAATTGAAGATAGAGCACCATGTTTCAATAAAGTGAAATGGATCATTTTGACGTTTGTTACATAAATGGTAGGCTTTTATTTATTACATTAACATTAAACGTACGTATACCCAAATGTCATGTGTTACAATTAACTATGTTCGTATTAAGCTGTGCAATTGAGAGAGACACTTGTTTCCTCAGACGTAGGCTTGTTCTTTTATACTTAATGTAACTAATATTTCAAATACCTGTCAAAAACTGTTATTCAACAATATGGAATTTTATATGGGAATTTTTAAAATGCAAATATGCTATTCAGTGCAAATATTTTTGTTTTTAGTTAATCATAGCTATCTCGGGTTTGACATTAAATCAGTAATATTCACACATGACATAAGAAGTACATTCTTATCACATTTTGTTTGCAACATTGTTACATGCGAAATGTAATAAGAATGCTAGACAGATAAGTGCCACATTAATTGATATAGACATTTTATAAAACGTTTAAATGTATCACTATTACTTGAACGGTACATACAGTTTTTTATTGTTCGTTTATTTGCTTAACAAAGGTAACCGCTGATTTGCAAAAATAATTACAGACTTTATAAATAAGTAATGTCTGCAATGTCATTTAGAAAGTCAGATAATGATTTGGTCAGGCCACGCATTGACAAAAGATTTACTGTTGACATTACGTGCAAAAATTGTTAAACCCAATTTACGAGCATAATAACTCATTTACATGGCTACTTACATAGACAAGTACTTTTTGTCATAATTTTAAACTGCTCAACTACAAATAATGTACAGTTAAAAACAAGTAACGCTTTTAATGGATTAGCAAAATAAGACAATTGACAATCTTGCATTTATTTCTGACACCATTTTCCGGCGAAACTGAACAACTCTTTTGTACTAAGAATTACTGTTTGAAAAAGAACCCAATCATAAATATTATTTGCTACTTTCTGAGTAAAATGAAGTTGGTATCTTTTATTTTTAAAGTCAACATTTTGATCAAAACTGGGATGGAATAGTCAGACAGTATTATTTTTTTATTGGAATACTTGAGATCATGAGTGAATTGAAGCTAGAGGAGCACCATGAAAAACCTGTTAATGTCTGTCTTCAACTAATCCACGAAATTTTTATAAATCTCAATTGATTATATTGTTTAATCACCAAGGCTTAATTAGAATTCATCGATGTTGGTTCAGTTGACCTTTCCTATAGAAATGATGTCGTTGTACTAGTAAACTGGTACTACTACATTCGCCTATCCTAACTATATGACACAACATTGAAACATTCTGAATAAGTTTTGCATGTACTATTCTTAGACAGATGAGTGTTCATTAGATGACATTTCCTATAGGAAATCGTTTACTTAAACCCTATATTTGATAAAGCTTAAAAAACGTTTACGAATACGTGGACGATAATCACATAATGACTATTAATCTAAAATGAATTTTGATAGCTTCATCAATTGGCCTTTGCCATGGAAATAAGAAATTGAAACAAAAGAATTTAAATCAGATTGTGGGTGGCCCTGAAAAGGGCCTTTACTCGTTCTCTTAACAGTCCCGAATTTCGTGAACCAAAGACTTGCTATGACTCCGTTATAGCGCCGCACATGGGACAGTGGATTCCATGGACGTGTGTTGATGGGTCGTAGGCACAAAATAAATGAAACATTGCATCACATCGACAAAAAACCCAGGTACTTCCATCAGCAGTTTCATGTGGCGGTTGCGCAAGATTGCAAATATCACAAAGTCTGTTGTCATGCGCGTTTTCGTTATTGTCGTCGTCTAGTTCGGTGAACTCCTCTGAGTTCATCGAAAC